AACACCACCTGCTCCCCAAAAACCTATTGAAATAAAAAAATAAAACATTTAACAAATAAAATGTGTGTCAAAATAGTCCTTATCTTTACTCTGACAACTTTCATCTTTAATCAGAGTGGTCACTAGACCACATACACTTAATGTAGCTGTTAATATGCTTTATTTACATCTTGGTATTTGCCATCTATTTGTCTCATATTTTAAACATATTTTTACATTCTTCCTTTCCGGCGTTCTTTTGGGCTAGGTGCATATTTGTTTAGTATCCCATATTATGTTCTCTATTGGCTGTTTTTAGCTACATTCCTCTTTGTTAGTTTTAGTGATTACTCTGAAACTATGATACGCACAGTCTATATTAGGATATTATATTACTTTGCAAACAATAGAAGACATTTGCAGCCACACACTGCATTTATCCCTTGCTGCGATTTTAATGCGTCCCCTCCAAAATGTAGGTGTTGAAACTTAGTGACCAATTGTGATAGTATTAAGAGGTGGGACCTTTAAGAGGCGATTAGGCTACGAGGGTTCCACCCTCATCAGTGAGATTAAAGCCTTTACAAAAGAGGCTTCATGCATCATTTGTGACTCAGTTTCCCTCTGCCTTTCACCATGTGAACATGCAGCATTCTTCTCATCTGGAAAATGCAGCATCAAGGCACAGCCTTGGAAGCACAGAGCAATCCTGATGACGGCCATACCTGCCAGCACCTTGACTTTGGACTTCCCAGTCTCCAGAACGGTGGGAAGATAAATTAATACATTGCTTACTTTACAAATTACCCAGTCTCAGGGATTTTGTTACAGCAGCACACATTTACTAAGACATCTTCTCCATCCTTTTCACTCTTGCTGCTGTATAGTTTATTTTCGTATGTGTTGTTATAAACCCTAATGTTACTTTATTAATATTTTTGCTTTTTAAATGGGCATTTTAACCATTCACACACACACACACACACACACACACACGTCTTCTCACAAACATTTCAGTTATTTGGTAACATTCTTCATCGTCTTGAGTATGTTCCTAAACATAGTAATTATAATACTTTTTAAAGTCTTTGATAACTCTAACATCTGCACCCCCTAATGAACTATTTCTATTGCCTTTTATTTATTTATTTTCAGTAGTTTGGACTTGTCTCCTAGTATCCTTAATTTTTTTGTTTAATTTTTTATATATTTTTTTATACTTAATAATTTTTGATTGAATGACAGACTTTTGTGTTTTTGTAGATATAATTCATAGAGATGATTTAAGGCTTTGAATGATATAAGCTTCTTCCAGAGGGAATTTGCTTTTGACTTTGGGAAATCAGAATCGGGATAAATCAGGACTCAGCTGCTTTGTAACTGTATTCAGCCTTTTGTGAAGGGTCGTCCATGTCTGGCCCATCCCAGGGTATAATGTGACTCTTCCGTGTCCCTAATTGGAAATCTCAGGTGCTAACCAGGGGTCTTATTTTTTAGTTAGCCCTAAACTCCAGGCTTTGTTTTCTCAATTCTATAAGACTTTCAAAAGTCCTATCTGATTTCCCAGACTCTCAGCGGCTATTTTTCTGTTCAGATTCTTCGTCTCCTGGTCCTTTACTACTTATGAATCATAAAAAATTCATACTTTTTAAAAAGCAGTGCCATTTGTTTTACTTTATTTTATTTCCTGAGACAGAGTCTCACTCTGCTGCCCAGGCTGGAATGCAGTGGCGTGATCACGGCTCACTGCAGCCTCGACCTTCTGCGCTCAAGTGATCCTCCTGCCTCAGCCTCCTGAGTAGCTGGGACTACAGGCATGCATGACCATGCCCAGCTAATTTTTGTATTTTTTGTAGAAATGGGGATTTGCTGTGTTGCCCAGGCTGGTCGCAAACTCCTGGGTTCAAGTGACCCACCTGCCTCAGCCTCCCAAAGTGCTGGGATTATGGGTGTGAGCCACCGCAGCCAGCCAGCAGCACGATTTTAGAAAATCACCGTATAGAATCTCAGGCTTACCTCAAGGCATTTCCTTTTCTCTGATATCCTGTCTTCTTTTCATTCCCTGGCGCTTTGGTATCTCCGAAGTCTAAGTTATGTCTCGTCTCTTCAATCTCTTAAGCCTGCTGACACCTGAGGCCATGTTCCCAGTCTTTTAGCTAAAGCTTTATTCATTTTTGTTAGTGGAGTCTCGCTCTGTCACTGAGGCTGGAGTGCAACGGTGCAATCTCGGCTCACTGCAACCTCCGCCTCCAGGTTCAAGCAATTCTCCGGCCTCAGCCTCCTAATTAGGTAGCTGGGATTACAGGCACACGCCACCACGTCTGGGTAATTCCTGTATTTTTAGTAGAGATGGGGTTTTGCCATGTTGGCCAGGCTGGTCTCAAACTCCCGAGCTCGGGTGATGTGCGCACCTTGGCCTCCCTAAGTGCTGGGATTACAGGCGTGAGCCTCTGCGCCCAGCCTAAAGCTTTGCGCTTGGCTCCTGAGGCTCTACACCGCCCGCATCACTCGGGACTTGGCAGATACCTCAAAGGGGAAATCTGTTGTGTTCATGGATTTCAGATTCACGTTCATGTATCTCTCTCTGTCACCTGAACACCTGGGACCTGACCATCTCTGCATCCATCTGATGTTTTTACGCAGATTATGGGATGGTGCGTTGTACGGCTTTTCCAGTTGCTTTAGGTGGGAGGGCTGGTCTCCAACAACCTACCTCAGCATCATCCGAAGCAGAAAGTCCTGATTTTACTTTTGAAGAATATTCTCACTGGGCGTAGAATACTAAAATAGCCATTATTTTCTTTCAGAAGTTTAATGAATTCCTTCCATTGTCTTCTGGCTTCCATTACTGCCGTGCGGAGATCAAATGTCAGCCTTGTTCATTTCACAGCTGTGTGTCCCTTTGTTTTTTTTTAAAGACATTTTTCTTTATCTTTGGTATTGATAAACTTTACCAAGTTGTATGCATGTGACATTTTCCTTTTAATTTATCCTTTTAGGGGATTATAGCTCACTTTAAAATCTGTGGCTAGAGTATTTTATTAGATTGGAAAAATTTTGTCCTGTATCTGTTCAAACACGCCCCCTCATCTCTCCTGAGACTAATTCCACATGGGTGTGCATTTTTAGCTCGTCCTGTATGTCTCTATACAACACCCTTTTGTGTGTTTTCCACCCTTCCTTCCGTTTACGATTCGGTCTGAGTACGTTCCGTTGTCTGTCTGCCGGGTTATCAGTCCTTTCTTTCATTCTGTCCAGTCTGCCCTTGTCTGAGTTTCCTCACTTTCAGTTATTGTATTTTAAATTGTGTTTTTTATATTTAGGATCCGGTTCTGCTGCTAAACTCTGCATCTTGCTATCCACCTTCTTGAACGTATTGATCGGCTGTTTTAAACTTTGTGTCTGATAGCTCCAGTATCTAGATGAGCAGGCTGGGAAGCTCTGCATCTATTTTCCACTCTTATCTGTGGTTTTTTGGTCATGTGGTCCTGTCTCCTGATATGCCAGGTCTTGATCAAATAGTCAATCTTATATAGAATAAATTAGAGAAATAATTTGAGGATCTTGATGATGCTATTCTTCTTCCAGAAATAATTTGCTTTTTATGTTGTTTTTGTTTGCTTTTTGGGGGGGTGGAGGAGAGAAAGAGGTCTCACTCTGTCACCCAGGCTGGAGCACAGTGGCATGATCTTGGCTCACCATAACCTCTGCCTCCTGGGTTTAAGCGATTCTCCTGCCTCAGCCTCGTGAATAGCTGGGATTACAGGCATGTGCCATCATGTCTGGCTAATTTTTATATTTTTAGTAGAGATGGGGTTTCACCATGTTGGCCAGGCTGGTCTTGAACCCCTGACATCAAGTGATCTGCCTGCCTCGGCCTCCCAAAGTGCTGGGATTACAGGCGTGAGCCCCCATGCCGGGCCGGGACTTCCTTTTGACCCTGGCAGGCAGTGAAGGCAGAAGGTCTGTAGCCCAGTCAGTGATCGGGATGATTCACAGCTGAGCTTCAGTGTTGGTGACGGACGCTCCGTTCCTGATTCCCCACGCCCACTAGGCTCAAGCCTTTCTGTGAATACCACTGATGTCTTGTGAAATTTATCAGGGCCTGTTTGCTTTGGTGGCTCTGAACCCTAATTTTTGTCCCCCTCAGGCCATGGCAGTGCCAGAAGCTCTTCCTGGCATCTCAGTGTTTCAGCCCAAACTCTCTTTTTTTTTTTTGAGACAGAGTTTTACTCTTGTTGCCCAGGCTGGAGTGCAATGGCACGATCTCGGCTCCACAACCTCCGCCCTGCCTCAGCCTCCCAAGGAGCTGGGATGGCAGGCATGCGCCACCACGTCTGGCTAACTTTGTACTTTTAGTAGAGATGGGGTTTCTCCGTGTTGGTTGGCCCGGTCCTGAACTCTTGACCTCAGGCAATCCACCCACCTTGGCCTCCCCAAGGGCTGCAGTTACAGGCATGAGCACCCGGCTTAACCCAAACTCTTAAATCAGCACATGCCTTGAGGAAAGAGGCGACCCCGAGGCTGGGCGCGTTCCTGTGCCTCCTCTGCAAGATCTCGGCTCCTTCAGCCAGTGTCTTTTCAGCTCCCCGAGGGCTCCTACATATTCTTGTGATCCATTCCACCCAGACTTTGATGACATTCTTGGTGGAAGGGCTGGTGTGCAGCACTCTGGTTTTCTGCTACCTTCTGTTGCCATCTCTCTGCAATGCTTCCTGCCCCCTGGACACTGAAGGACAGACAAATGGTGTCACTCAGACTGACAGATGGCTCCTACCTGGGAGTGCCCAGTTCGATACCATCTCCATCAGGGTGCCTGAGTGGATGCCCCCTCTACTGTAAAAACGTTCATGTGCTTCTGAGGTCCAATATGCCTTATGTTCACCCCCCTTTTCCACTGTCACCTCCATGCCATGCTGCACAAAAGCACTTCTTCTGGAGTCCGTCCATCCCCTCGAGAGGCCCATGCCCACCCGCTTACTCTCTTTCTCTGCCGACTGTCCCCTTCCCGCCTCCCCTAGGTCACCTGCCAGAAGCAGGCCCTGGAGGAGCAGCTGGCTCAGAGCCTGCAGGACCAGGAGGCCCAAATGGACACTCTGCAGCAAGCCCTGCAGGAGAACGGTGCTCTGTCCGAGGAGCGGGCCCAGCTGCTGGCCCAGCGGGAGGCGTTGGAGAGGCAGGGCCAGCTCGCAGCTGAAGAGGCAGCTGATCTCAGGTACACGCGCAAGGACCTGCCAGTCAGGCCACGTCCCACGTGCCCCTGCCATCCGAGAGCCTGCAGTGTGGCAGGGTACGGGGCACTCACAGCATCACATGGGACCGGGAGTGAGTGCAGGTGAGCTGGGCTGGAGTGAGAGGCCAGCACAGAGCCTTTGGGTTGGGGGAGGGTATCTAGAAGAAGTCCACCCAGCGAAAGCCCTGGGGTCGCCTTCCTGAAAGAGGTGGTGGCAAGTGCAGAAACCCAGCTCAGACCCGTGGAAGGCAGCTGTGGACTGTCTGGCTCACAGAGCTGAGTTCAGGGTAAAGCCAGCTTCAGGCATGGCTGGATTCAGGCACTCCCACAGTGCCCTCGGAATCCTGCCTCTCCTTCTCTGAGCACGGCTTGGTTCTGAGAGGATCTCATTCCCAGGCAGGCTCACTCTGAGAGGTGGCAAGATGGCCAGCAGCCACCCAGGGGTCCCCTTCCAGCAAACGCAGAGCACCCTTCTCCCCACAAGGCCTGAGAACTGCTGCTGCCATGGGCCACCTTGGGCTGCCTGGGAGCCGGCATCACAGGGCTGATCCCAGGCTTGGGCAGCACGCCTGTCCCTGGAGCCAGGAGCAGGGTCAGCCCGGCGACCACGAGGCGGAGAGTGCGGGCGGGTGAGCCCAGAGGCCCTCGGGGCAACTCCCAGAGGTTGGGAAGGGAAAACAGGCAAGAACAGGAGGTGTGCAGGCTGGTGATCTGAGTCCTGCGGCCTCTGCAGAAACCCGCTGGCTGTGGCACTGCTAGGTGTCTTTGTTGAAAAGATTTCCTCCCGGAATTCCGGAGTCTGGGATCCTTGAGCTTCTTCGCAGACAAACCTTTCCTCCGAATGAAGGCTCGCGCCACAGTCGGGAAGGAAAACCGAGGGAGGCCGCCTGCCGCGGGCTGGGCTCCTGCCCGTGCCCCCTCCTGAGCCCTGGGGGCTCCAAGGCCCAGGGGTGGGGACCCCATTCCTGCCGGCAGAGTCTGCTGCCCAGAACACAGGCCCTGGCCAGAGCCCTCCGCAGCCTGAGTCCTGCCCCAACAGCTGCTCCCACCTCAGCCCTGCCACTGACCCAGGGCCCCTGCACATGGCAGCCCTGCAGCCTCAGTCACAGGCCACCGTCAGGGTGTCCTGATGGCCAGCTGAGTCTCTGGTGACAGAGGGGCTTGTCCTGAAGCCACCTCTGCCCCGACACACTCTGTGTGTCCACGACTGGCCCAGGGGGCTGGAGACTGTGGACGCCGCCTTGTTGATGAGCTCTCGGGTGACACTGGGGACCATCCGGTGCGGGAGTCCTGCCGCGGCCCCCCATTTCTGAGGAGACCTCCCCACGGTCGGCTTTATGAAGGGGCTCCACTCTCAGCATCCCCAGGCCCTGACCACCTTCAGCAGCGGGACCTGCTCCCTTCTGTACCCTGCCACACTGCAGGTTCTCAGAGGGCAAGGGCAGGCAGGACGTGGCCTGACTGGCAGCTCCTCGCACGCGTACCTGAGATCAGCTGCCTCTTCAGCTGCGAGCCGGCCCTGCCTCTCCAAGGCCTCCCTCCCTTCACGGGGTCCTGGCCCGACTGTCAGCCGGCAAGGTGGACCAAGGTCCCCTCTGGGCCCACATCCCAAGCAGCCCCACCCTGCTTGGAGCACCCTGGCGGGGGCCAGCCCTCCAATCCAGGGGCTCAATGGCGGAGCCCCTAGACTTGCTCCTGGGTCCCCATAGACAGAGGCTGGGCATACACACAGGTCCCCAGGCTTCAGGCAAAGACGTCCCATGCCTGAGTGGCAGAGGCCACATCCCCTACAGGAGGCCAGGCAGGCCTCTAGGAGGAGGAGTTTCCAGGCTGATTGAAGGGAGGGTTTCCCACATGCAGAAGGGGGAAGAGCTGTCTGGCGAAGCGAGCACTCAAGCCTGGGAGTGTGGGATGGGGCCATGAGGAGCACTCCTGGGAGGAGGGGCTGAGGGGGAGCAGAGTGGCGTGCAGCAGAGTGAGGGTTCTGGGGGTTCGGACCTGAGCCCAGAGAACCTCCGTCTGCGGGCCCTGGAGAGCCCCAGGAGGCTGGGAGGTGCTCTACCCCTGAAGAAGTGGGTGGCAGTGGGCAGAAGGACGGAAGAGAAATGGAGGCAGGGCCCAGTCAGGAGCTGCCAGGGTCCCCGTGGCCCAGGGCCCACCCCATGGCATCTGTCTGGGGTTGAGCACCTCCAGTTGCTGTTCGTGTGGGCGTCTGTGTTCGAGTCTGTTTGTACGTGTTGCTCCGTGCGTTGCTTTGCTCACTGATAAATACCCAGCACAGGGCAGCAAACGGTGACGATGAGCCTTGCTGCTGACAGCTGGACCCTGATGAACTGATTGTTAGAAATGTGGGGTCTTTCGCCTCCCGGGAGTGGGCGCTGCTGTGTGGTGGCGCTGGCAGTCCAGGCTCAAAGGCAGCAAGCAGGCTTTCCACACGAAGGAACCACGCTGCACGTGGGGGTCTAATGCGGGGGTGGCCTTCTGGGGTGACTCTTTTCATGGCATGAGAATAGGAAACAGTTTCCTCGTCCTTGTTAACAGCGTACGCTGCCCCAGAGACAAGATGCACCATCATTTCTAGAACATTCTTCCACTTATTTGCATTTCAGCTACTGCGAGCATTTTGTGGGCAGGATCTTGGGGATGACGTGCGTTGCTTGCTGCTCCTTTGCAGGGCGGAGAGGGACTCCCTGGAGAGCAGCCTCCTCCAGGCCCAGCAGCTGGCCGCGCAGCTGCAGGAGCAGGTGGAGGAGGAGGTCCGGAGCGCAGGACTCACGCGGCAGGCCTTGCAAGGTGCTCCAGGGGCGGCTCCCCCAGCCCGTTCCCTGAAAGTCAGCCATGGAGGGGCCCCTGGAGGGGAGCTCAGTCCCCACACATGCTGCGCCCCTCTCCGGAGCCCACAGGGGCACAAATGAGTGCCTGGAGCTCTGGTGACTGAGCACATCGGGCCACCACGGCCCATGAGGGGCAGCAACACCCTGCCCAGGCTGCAGCTGGCACCAGCCTGAGGCTGGGCACTGCGCTGTGGCCGCAGGGTCAGCATGTGGCCTCCATCTGCAGCCCTGGACCCTGCACCCTGCGTAGCCCACCCTGCCATGCGCTGGCCACCCACTCCCGGAGCCCGGCCACTGTCACCCCCAAGGCTGTCACTCCCTTGGGGGTTCCAAAGGGTTCGGGGGTCCGCATGCCAGGCCCTGGTGCACCTTAACCCATCACCCCACAGTGGAAATGAGGCAGCTGCAAAGTGACTGGGAGGTCCAGGAGACGAAGCTGCGGCAGGACACGGGGCAGCTCCAGCAGCAGGTGGCACAGCAGGAGCGGGGGGCACAGCTGGCCCTGGAGAGCCAGGCGTCGGCCCACCGTGAGACCCTGGCACAGCTCCAGCGGGAGAAGGTCTGCTTCCCACAGGCCCACCAGTAGCTTCCTAGAAGGCTACCAGGTCCCAGGGAATGGCAGGCCCTTGGGAGGAGGAGGCCCTTGCAGACCAAGCTCAGAGGCAGAGGTGCCCGGCCAGGGAAGGTTGGGCAAGGACCTGCTCACTCTTTATAGTTCAAATGGGCATCCAGGGCCTTCCCTGTAGGGCCCTCACACTGGGCTCGGGTTTGTATTTGGGGTGGGCCTCCCTCGTGGCAGAAGCTGGATGGACTGTTGGCTGATCTGGTGCAGTGTGACGGGTGGGGGCAGAAGGCCCCCCCCACACCCACTTCAAAGGCCCCCCCGACACCCACTTCAAAGGCCCCCCCGACACCCACTTCAGCGGTCCCACAGGTCACAGGCTTCCGGAGGCCTGGTTTGATGTGTCTTTGCACCCCTTCATGGCAGGTGCAGTGCAGAGACTCAGGGATGGTGTACATACTGATAGATCAATGTGGGCTGGCAGGTGCTGGGACCCAGAGAGTCGCTCCCTGCTCCCGTGACCCTGAGGGGAAGGTGTGGGGGGTGCATCTGGCTGGACGGAACAGCCTCTGGGGACCATCAGTCCTGGTGTCCCCCAGGTCAGGTCTCACTCAGGACCACAGACACCTGCTGGCCTCACCTGCCGGACCCATCCCTTACCTTGCCCAGGAGACCCTGAGTCTGTCCCTGGCAGAGGAGAAGGAGGTAGCCAGATGCCAGCTGGAGCAGGAGAAGGAGCTGGTGGCAAAGAGTGCGGCTGAGAGGGAGGCTCTGAAGGAGGAAATTCACAGCCTGAAGCAGGAGCGGGACGAGAGCCTTCTCCAAATGGAGCACAAGATGCAGCAGGTGATGGCGGGGCTGGGGGCGGCGGGGCTGCTCACACCCACTGCACCTGCTGTCTCTGACCCAGTACAAGGGCTGCATGGCGCCACACCTCAGGCAAGTTCAGCCTTTCCAGGTCACTGCTGTTGTAACTTTGTTCTTCCACAGCAGTCACGGTGGACAGATGTCCAACCACCTACCCACCCGTCCACCCATCCACCCATCCATCCACCTATCTGTCCATCCATCCATCCATCTGTCCACCCTTCCACCCATCCACTCATCCACCCACCTATCCACCATCCATCCACCCGTCCACCCACCCATCCACCCGTCCACCCACCCACCT